AATTTGTTAGTAAAAAACCCCACAACTACATGTGAATCGCAATAATCTGTTGTGGGTTTTTTAATTCCCAGATTCAAAAGAATCTGTTCTCATTTTGCATTTTATCTGTTTTATCAGAATAAAGAGGAATGGATTCAATGTTGTAACAAAAAGACACAGTTCTATAGACAATCAAGGGAGGGTTTAATAACTTAATGCTTCTGGTAAATAAATGGCTTTTTGCCACTTACTCCATTTAGCTTTCTGCTGAAACCATGGGCTTCATGCAAGCTAGTCTAATTGCTACAATTAGCAAAATTAAATGGCTTATTGTGTATTTAGACAATTCTTCCCACACCCTGCACTGTTATACTACAGAATTAGTACTTAGAGTGTTGGGCTTGTAAATACATGGGCATGTGTTGTGATTAATTTCATGTGCACCTCTTGCAGGGACTCAGCCTAAAGAAGCTTGTTTAGATGGATGCACAAATGCAATTCACTCTGCATCCCACCATGCACAGGAGCAAGAGAGGCAGTAGTAGGACCCCAGCAATCAGCTGAGGCCTTTTCCTTGGCATTGTGATGGCAGTGCAGGGGGTGCAGAGCAAACCACAGCATCTCAGTCTCTCCAGATTGCACGACTCCAGGGACAGAGCAGAGAAAGGGCAGTGGCTTTGGGAGCTGAATCACTGGCAGAGCCAATTAAAACTCAGTACAGTGCCACTTTTAAAGCTCTTAAGGAGTCGCATGATCAAATCACAAAGGCTTCAAAATTTTGAGGTTCTCAAAAAAACCCAACAGGCTGGTTGCTGGCCAATGAAAAGTAAATTAATATATTGTGTGATTGGGAGCTCTTTTCCAAATAAAGCAGCACTTGCACTTTTAGTACCACTCATGAATTGCCCTTCTTGGGGAGATAAGGGTATACTGGCTAGACTATTATAGGTTTTAATTACATTTGGGTTTAATACTTATTCACCACATATTAAAAACTGCAGCTCCAGTAAAATTTCAGTTTACTTCCTCTGCCTAGAAGTTTACAAAATCAGGCCAGCTGAGGTTTAGCATCTAATTTTGGAAGAAAATTTTTTCTCAAATGTTATAGAAATTACTCAATAGAAAATTGGTTGATTTGTCAATGAAAACACCAAACCCATATAGCCCAAGCACAGACACATTGTTCTAGCACAGGAAGCATATTTAAACAGACATAAACAGAAGTGAAAATCAGTTTTTTCATTATCAAATCTGCACGAAAAAAGTATTGCACATATTTTCAAAGATTTCATTAAAAAAAAAAAAAATTATCTTATAGAACAAATTTCTCTTAAGATAAGATAAAAGGTCATCATACATGTTCTTATCTGTTTTCTGAATGAATATGGGTATGCATTATCTCTCCTGTATCTAATTAGAATAGTGAATACTACTTAAATTGTCTTTTCTGTAACATACAAATCTATAACTTTCAAAATTTTAGGATAAACTGCTAAGTTACTGTTAAATCTGATGGCAAATTTGTTTGATTCATTAGAGCGATACTTACGTGATGACCCTTGCTTCTAACAAAGAGACGTGATTTCCTTACCAGAATAAAATTATGAATAATTCATTTTCATGTTCTTCTGGAATGAAGTTTAAAAGACCTGTTTTTTTCATTGCTTCAAAAGCAGAAGTTATTTATTTATTTTTTTTACAATTATTTTTCATTTTTTTGCTATTGCTGTCTTAACTGAACTTTATAAATAGATCTTAAAACTGTCTCTGGTAAAAAGAATAGTGCATATTGATTATTAACTGTCTGTAAGGCCGTTATGGGATTTCAGCATGGACTATGTTTAATCTTGAAAACTTCTATTAAAATTCTTACAGCTTTTAATGTGACTGTTCATATTGAAACAAATCAAGAAACTGTCCATGTAGTCATCTGAGAATTGAGCTTTCACTGGCCATCCTGTTCTCAGCGCAAGTATCGCTGACATGACAAACATAACAGAGCAAGATTTTGGACAGCAAATTTTGACTCGGTATAAGGTGACTTCTCTCCCTTCCTCAAACAGCCAGATTGAATTCTAAAGAAAAGCTGTACTGCCATGTATGGTGCTGTGCACTAGGACCCTGCAGTCTTTGATTAAGATAAATTTTCAAACATTATTAAGGAAATAAGAAATGCTGGGAGAGTAGAGTAAGTAAATGCTACATATTAAAAACCACATAGATAAATTATGCCTCTGTGTCCTTCCGTCCAAAATCAAACAAGAGGAAATCAAACAAACCCACCCCAAACTTTCCTCAGAAACCTTGCACTGCAAACACTGGTCCTGACTGTGACCCTTTACATTCTGCACGATGCAATTTTTCTTAAATTCTGTAAGGCTTGATCGAAGGGCTTGAGAGTGCTCACTAAATTCAAGTTGTTAAAGCAGCAGCAAACACATCAAACTGCTTCCAGAGGAAGCTCCCATTGTCTTGGATTACAAAGTTTACCCTTTGCCTTTTTTTTAAAAGAAAACCAGCAATTTCTCTGTGCAAGCTACAGTTTGATTCTGGAGTGAAGGCTCCGCTGAATTTGACAGGACAAAGGACTTGCTCCCAAAATCTTTTTTTGGCAGTTCTCGCAGTGATTTATTTTCTGATAAAATATGAGTACTTTTCACTGAATAATCAGTTCTATCTCTGTGGAGGAAAGGGCAATCACTGTACAAAGCTTCAGGTTTGGACTATCAAAAAATTATTTTATTAAAAAAATTATAAGAGGCAGTTTGCCACTGGTTAATTTCAAAATACCTAAGAAACCCTTGAAGCACAGGTGCTTTCTGATCTGTGCAAAGTTCTATCTGACTTGCAGATTCCTGCACTTCCACAGATGTTTTGCTTTGAGGAACTCACCCCAGCAAAGAACAACAGGAATTGAACATTTTGCTAATAAAAACCAATGTTATACATGGCTAATTGAACACATACAAATAAACAAAGGCTGTGTAACTTCAGTCATTTCATAGTAGAAATACCAATGACAGGAAAAACTGACATTTACCCAGCAGCATATACAGCAGTTACTGAATATACCTGACAGTGAAGGTTACAATACCAATCATCAGGTCTTCTCCATCCTGACAATGCCATTTACAACAGTAACTCTTCAGTTCTGCTTCGCTCTCCTAAAACGGATGGAAATAGTAATAGCAAATTGTTTCTTATGGAATTGCTTGGTGTCTTTACAAGCCACTTACACTTGAAGCAGGATCCACGGTTTATAGAGTATCTAAAAGTACCCATGTAGGCTTTCATATGGCATTACACTGCAAAACAAATCCCTAATGTGTGAAAACCAGGTTTATATCAACCTGCAGAAGCCAGTTGATAAATTTCATGGACCAATTCTTAAAATCTACGCTATAAAGAGAATGAAATGTATTAAAAGATTTGAGGTTTATAAAAAGTAACCCTTTTATACCATATTTTACTTTACAAAAATATTGAAATAATTAATGAGTTTTTCACTCTGCACCAGCTTTAAAAAAAATACTGTCAAATTTTGACTTGCACCTTTAATGCATCTGAAAGCACCATCAGGGGATACTTTTAACATAAAGGAGGATACCATTGACTAGATTTAGGGAGGTATTTATAACCCAAAAGCTTGCAGCAAAACCACTCTATTACAAGAGATTCAACGTAATTTTTAGACGTATCTGGACACAAGTCTTGAAGAGACAGAAGAGGGTCTTCCACATAATTTGCTTATATTATACTTTGCTGATATACTTACTAAGAGGCGGCTGAGAGCCTGTAAAAGACATCACTTTCACCTTGGGTGGGAAAAATCAGAGCTGTCTCTACACGTTGAGAACTTGATCGGTCTTTACTGCTTCTTGTTCTGGTAGGGCTCATGCCACTTGTTATTTGTCCCTCAGGCAGTATCAACCTTGCAGTTATACAATGTTTGGCACTAGAAGGGTATGGCATGTCACAGTCTCTTGTCAGCCCTGCATACATTCACACACTGAATCATGCATTCTCAGTCCCACCACAGAGAAGTTTCAGTGTGTTCATCTCCTTGTTGTTTCTTCTGAAATATCTGAATGGGGTCCTCCAAAAAGTTTAGATTACGAAAACTATACTTCCCTGTTCTTCTACATATATATATATTTTTACTTTTTTTTTTAATTATTTTTTTTTTTGCAAATTGAACACTGAATCATGATTATCATTTAATTTACATCACTACGTGCTAGAGCTCCTTATTTCTCCTGAAAACCAGAGGTGAGCTGCATAGGATTTCTTTTGAAAGTAACATAAAGGACGTAAATTGCATTTAAAAAGACTTTGATATTCCACAGAAAACAAACAGTTCTGGTAGTATTAATGTTTATGACCTAAGCAAACAGAATTTAGTTTATTTTCCATTTACAGCCTTACAAACATGACAACTTATCTTTTTAATTAAGAGCTATTTTGAAAACCTATTCTACCCTGAATGGCTAACTTATGGGAGTGTTGAAGACTGCTATGCTCCTTTTTTTTTTTTTCCCAGAAAACAGTTTTCATCACAGCAACATGGAGCGCTACAGGTTTGTTATTTTTTCAATGTTTTCTACTTGTTTGTTTGTTTTTGCCATTGATTAGGCAAATGTCAATCATTCATTTCTAAAATAAAATGCACTACTGGCTAAAGTTGAAAGCTCTGGTCAGAGCTCTCCTATTGGATTGATTCTAAGTACTGTGCAGTCAGAGTTTCATAGCAGCAAGGAGTCATGGGTGAGTTTCCCCAGCTGAAGTAACTGCTCTGTATGTTGGGTTTTTATGAGGCTTTCAGGTGCTGCTGCTGTAACAGTGTCCTGCAGACAGACTGCACACAGTGGATCAAATGATAATCATGATGATAGCCAGACTAAGAACACTACAGCTTGCTGCTCTACTTGTAGGACACAATCCAGTCATTCCTACAGCCCTACAGTCAACCCTTAGTTGAGACTGTGACATCAGAGCTTCTCCAAGCTGTGTTTTTGTTTTGTTTACAACGTGGTTTCATATTCCAAGCGCTCCTGGATAAGGGCATCATCTTTATACTGTAGCCGTGGAGGAGCAGGGGAACATTCAAAAGCTAAGATGGCCTTCCTCAGGCTCCTGTCCAACACGTGTCTCTCCCACGCTGGGTACCTGTTCCTGAACAGATCAATTTTAATGACAGACTCCTCAATCCTTGGTGGCCGGGATGAAGGTGTGGACGGCGCGGTAGGTCTCACCTGAAACACAGGCACACACCCATCCCTCTCCGTGAATTTTTGATCCCGCTCACTCGTGACACTCCGGTTGTTGGAAATGGACCGTAGAGTGTTTGTTGCCACTTCTGGGGGCAGGGTGAAGGTGGCAGCAGGGTCCTCACAAGCACAGCTTGGCGACTGCCCAAACCTTGGTCCGTTGGGGTGAAAGAAGGCATAGTACATTAGCATAAAAACAATGCCTGTTAAAAAGCTGCTGAACACCACACACAGTGCTGGTATGGCGAATGCATCAGAGATGGGTGGGGCCTTGTACAGATACCAGAGAGCACTCAAGGCGGTGTTCTCTAAAAGGATCACAAAATAGTAAATGAAAAGCCTACAGCGTGTCCTTCCTTCCTTGACATTGAACCAGCTGAAGATATAGATTATCCCGACAACCATGTCGAAAACTATCTCCTCCCATTTAGTGATGCAAAACTCTGTCTCGCAGTGGACGATCCAGAAGGTCATGATGCACCAGTGCAGCACGATGAAGATCCCAAAGTACAGCTGGAAAACTGAAGCAAACAGAGCAAAAGTAATAACCCTTGCTGCAATTGTGAAGAAATGCCAACAAAACTGGATTATAACAGCCATGTAACTGATGGGTTTCTTGTCATCACGGGAGTCACGGAGGGCCTTTTGGTAGGAAGCCAAAGCCCAAGCCAGGGACACAAGAGATGCCGCAGCAGTAAGACCTAGGAGGAAACAGGAGATGCAGTTAAGGCATAATTAGTATATCAGCACTTAGTTGAAACTGGTGAGACCCTTGCTGCTTTAAATGAGCCCTTCAACACTAACTTAATCAAATCTCTTACTTCTCCTTTAGCTCAGCTAGTACTTCTATTGTTGAGATTTGACTCCCCTTACCAGCGAGCACACTGATGTGTTGGATACACTTGAACCAGAGTGCCTAGCAAGCTATGATTTGAAACACTTCTCTAGCAATTTTATGTTTGAAACAAATCCATTAATTCTCAACTTGGCAAGCTGGGAATAGGTGTCTCTGTCAGCTGTGTGATTTACAGGACCCACAGTGGTTATTGTTTGAAGGAAAGAATATGAATTTTCCAATTTTGAGAAGCCACTAAAGAAGCCTAACACAAAGCAACCAAGTCTTTCTAATTAAAATACCCGCATTGTACACAGATAAATTATACAGATAACAATGTAAGCATAAATCTACATTTTCAAAATAAATTGATGTAGCTGTTGTTACATCAGAGTTTATACTAGCTGCTTTACTCTTGCTGAGGCAAAAAAATACTGTCTATTTTGATATTTCCACCAATTTTAAACAGAATTTTAATAAGTACAAAATATCAAAGCTCAAAATTTCTTCCAGCTCGAAATTAAATTAATTTTAGAAAACTTGGAATTTTCTACTGAATTAAAATTCTGAGTACAGATGCTCCTAAAGTAGGAAGTTATGACTTAATGTACGTATAGCCACTCTGTATCCCATATATCACAGAACTACCTATTTATAAGGACCTGAAATATAATATTTCTGAAAAACTGTCAAAAATTTGTACAGAAAGAATTAAATTTAAAATTATTTCTGATAAGATTTTCAAACTTTGTGAAAATTCTTATTAACTTGAAAATACAAAAACATAAACCAAATTAAAAAACCCAAACATTTCTATGCTTCTTTTGAATGTGTATTGTTCTTTTTTTTCTCAAGTGAGTTTAATTGTTGTCAGTAGGTAAACTTAAAAAAGAAGTTGCTTTGAAAATTAATCTAGTTTTTAAATGAATTCATTACTTCCCT